ACATGGAAACAAGCAAAGTTGGTCCTAACGGGAGAGTGTTCAGGAAATACCGTGTCCCCAGTTCTAGGCCTCGAGGCCCTGGTTCTTATGAGTTACCCTCAGAGCCTCCCCAGGGCCAGAGCCCGCTGCAGTTGGTTTCTGTGGCCTGCAAACGAAAAAGTGCGGATCAATACAAGTCCCCTAGCTCCTTTAGAAGCCCAGGATTGATTCACTGGCCAAGACAGGCCCCAAAGGATGGTGAACGTGGGGTGCCACAGGGGGCCAGGGTCCACCCCCTGAGGTCTGGAAGCCAATGAAACAGGCAGGGCCCCCTCCTCTCGGTAGGACCTTGACTTCCTTATCAGCCCAACTTTGGTACAGAAAATAGGGTCATGGGACTGTGGGTCACTGAAGACCAGGCAGAGGAGCCATTCCACAGTCAAGGTCATCCAATCATCTAACAGAGCTTCCTGGGGAGCCCATGGCATGCCAGGTACCCGGGACACATCATTAAAGAAGCCGGACAAGTCCCTGCTCCCAAGCAGCTTACTCTCGAGTGGGAAGAGGGAGAGATTAACAATTAAACAAGAAACTCACAGAATAAAAAAAAAAAAAATTAGAGTGTCAGAGAGTGGACAGCAAAATAGGGCAGACAGTGAAGAGCCCCCAAGGTGCTGCACTGGAGTTCATGTCTGGAAACCGAGGAGGGGTCAGCCAGGTGGGACGAGCATTCCGGGCAGAGGGATCAGCAAATGCAAAAGCCCTGAGGTAGGAGCAGCTTCCCTGAGGACAAAGGGAGTCAAGCGGCCAGAGAGAAATGAGCAGGGAAGAATGAGGTCAGAGAAAATCAGGGAGCCAGGTCCACCCAGGCCTTAGGGATGCACTCCAGGTGGAGGGGAGACTGAATCCTAAGCCCAGAGAGGGGAACTGGGCAGCCTTACTGTGCTACCTCAGATGCCAGAAAAAGCAGGTGAGTCTCAGGGAATGCCCTTGGATTGAGAGCAGAACAGATTACTCTGCTATGGCCAGAGTTAGCCTGCCACACAACCTCCATGGTTAGAGAGATTGCTGATGCAACTGGAGCGGTCAGGAGAGGCAGGGTTATGCTGCAAAAACAAATAAGCCCAAGGCCCTTGGGGCATGAAATAATGGTTTCTTCTTCACTTGTGGAGCATGGAGTGGCTGGGGGCTCTGCCAGGATCCTGGCTGATGGGACAGTCACCTCTGGAACATAGAAAGTGCCCGTCAAGTTTCCACCTGGAATGATCCATTGTTTCTGTTCACATTGTATTGGCCAAAGCAAGTGAGAGCTGCATTTAGTTAAAAGGGGTTGGGGGAAATATGGTCCTACAGTATGCCCGGCTGGTAGAGAGCTGGGTGTATTTGGCAAACATCATTAATTACTCCTGCAAGACCCTTGAGACTCAGACACACAAATGGAGTTCCCCAAGGTAAGTGGAATCCTAGGCTGCAAACCCAGTCCCCAGCTCCCAGTCCAGGGCTTTCCACAGTACCCACCCCTCCCCACGCCACCTGGTGTCCTGGTGTCCTCTCAGCCTAATGACCTTGAAGACCTTAATCTTCTAAGCCTCTCTGCCCACTCCACACATGAGCAACGGCTCATCCTCTCTGTATCTTGGAGGAGAGACAGGGTGAGTCCCCTTCTTGGCCACCAAGGGAACTGGAATACCCCTTTGCATTTGGGGCCATGAACAGGCCTCACAGCCTGGGAGGTGTGGGAAGAGCAAGTCCAAACTGGCACTGGAAGTTGCCCTTCAGCAGGAATTCTGCCAGGGCTGCGGTGGGCGATGGTGTAGAGCTGGTGCTCTGGCAACAGCCCAGTTCCATCGAGACCAGACTCTTAGGCTTGTCCTGACAAATCACTCTCCACACGTTTTCCACTCCAGAAGCAGCTTCCCTGGGTTCTTCAACATGAGCCAGGGACCAGGGACCCCAGAAGACCCCATGGTCCTCTATGCCAGCCAGCCCTCCCTGACTTCCCCAGGGAGCCCTGTGACAAGGCAGGGAGAAGGTTAACCCCATGGGCAGGTGCAAGGATAGCTCTTCCCTGCAGGCAAGCCTGGTCTGCCAGCTCCAGCTTGCCTCCTCTGGGCCATGAGGATTTTTCCAAGTCAGTTTCCTGCAGCAGCCTGAGCAATCCCAGGGCTGGGGCCTCCGTCGCTGCCTTCCCGGCCCAGCCCCAGCCCAGTAGGTCTTCTGCCATCAGATCCTGACCAGCTCAGGCCTGGCAGGGGCCCAGCTGGCATGGACTGGGCTGGGTTAACTCTCAAGGAGCCTGGAGGATTCCTGGGCACCAGCCAGATGGCTCAGGGTTCACCTCTATAGACACTGTCCAAGCTGGGCGACTCTGGGAGAGCTCTGAAGGAAGAAGGTTCCAGATAGAAAGGCTGAGGGCAGAGTCTAGGCTACCCACCCCCCACCAGGTCTCCTAGCAGCCTCAGCTCTTCTGATGGGGAATGAGGTGGTTCAGACAGAGAAAAGTCCACAGACCCCTGTGGCCACAGAGTTGCCCCCAGGCTGCTGGGCCATCCCCAGAGACAAACTCCCAGTGGGAAAAGCCAGCAGGAGCAGTCTGGGTTAAGGAGGGAGGGCACCAGGCATCACAGGCCTCCTCTGGGTTGGGATCTAGCGGCAAAATCTTTCTTGGGGAACCCAGCAGCAGTCACACAAGAGGCCCTGGCCAGTGGGGAGACCTGGGGAGGCTGCGTGGGGCACGTAGGGGTGAATGGACCTGTCCCTGCTCAGCTAGGCCTGTCCTCACTGGACCCTCAACTTCCCTCATCAAGACCCTCCAGTCGCTCTGGCTCCTTGCAAGCAAGGACACACGAGGATGTGTGGCCCGAGGCAGACAAAGGGCTATTTTTGCCTCCTTATTATTTCCTCCCTTAGCTTCCTAACTCCCCAGCCAAGGTACACCCCAGTCCTCCCTCTGATTCTCTGCAAACCTTGCAGCACTGTGGGCTCTGCCCTGCCAGGTGCCACCACTGAATCCTCAGGGTAGTCCAGGGCCCAGGGCAAGGTTCAGCCTATCCCGATTCCAAGGCTCAGAAGGGGCATCATCAGGACCCTGGGGCACCTCAGCCCTGTGTCTCCACCTCCCTCCCCAGCTGTCCCCAGTCCCAGCCCACCTGGGCCCACACTCCCCCCTAAGGGGGCCCCTGAGCAGAGGCAGCAGCCAGGCTTTCTGCCTAGAAGAGAGGTCAAAGGTGGGGGCAGCTCCCCTCAGCCTCAGCCTCGGGTTAGAGCCACCCCTGCAAGGAAACAGAAGGCACCAGGCCCTCAGTCAACCTTATTGTTCTGAAATTCTCTCCAGAAAACACGCCCCCTTATTGTCTAAGCCCCAGGCAGGCTGCTCCCCACACCCCATGCCCCTACCTCAGCCCGCTACAGCCAACAACTGGTGAGATGGGCACCTTGTGGTTCTCTTTCCAGAAAGGAAACAGACGCTCATAGACCTCAGAGACTTGCCCGTGACACACAGTAACCTGCAGAACCTTTGAACCCAGGCCTGCAGAGCCAGGGCCCAGAGCCCAGGACCTGTCTCTTTGGGCAAGGCGTGGGCCTTCCTTAGGTCAGGTGACCTCTGACCCCTGCATGCCTCTGCCTCCCCATTGAGGAGGGGAGTGGGGACCTTGACCCACTCCAGGGGGTGAGGGGCTGTTTGGTGGCAGAAGAGGGTGGCAGAGTCTGCTGGGCGTGGCTCCCCATCCTCCTCCTCCTCCTGCTGGCGCTGAAGCAGCGCCGCTGCAGACCAGGAGCTCCGGGGCTGTGGTGTTTTTTTTAACCACTTGATCATGATCAAGGATTTAATTTTATCCCTCCCCTGCCTGGCTGGGATTCTATTTGGAGTTTCAACGCAAGCAAGTGAGCAGAAGGTCCCTGGAAGCCAGGGCTCTCATCCCCCAGCTCTGCCCAGCTCCCTCCCTGCCTTGCAGCCAGGACAAAGTCTATCTGGGGGACCCCCTCAGCTCCACAGGCCTGGGGGACACTGGGGGACACTGGGGGACAGGGCTCCAGTCAACACCCTTCCCCCGTGGAAGCCAAAGCCGCTTAGCAGAGGCGAGGTGGTGTGGGGGTGGGGAGCTTGGCCAGGACTTCCACAGGGATCATCTGGGCTCCTCCATCCTCACAAAAAGCGCTTAATAAGCACCTAACTGGACCTGGGGCTGGGTTCCTTCCAGTGAGTGCTGCAGACAAGTCCTCAGGTTCTTGCTCTGGTGACTTATGAGCAGGAGGGTGGGGGTGCAGGGACACCCACAGTGATGACTTCATGACGACCACGTGTCCTGACCGCCCACTGGCTAGGTGGCTGGCTGAGCTTGCCTCCCTGTTCCTCCTTATTCCTCCACAACAGCCTTATGTGCAGATGCTCTTAGTTTCTCCCTTTTTAATTTTTATTTTTCTGCAGTTGCAGATGGACAGCAGGCCTTTGTCTTCTTTTATGTGGTGCTGAGAATCGAACCCAGGGCCTCTCGAATGCCAGGCAAGAGCCCTGCTGCTGAGCTACAGCCCCAGCCCTCCTTTTTTTTTCCCATGGTTACATCATCTGCCTCAGTCACACAGCTGCCAAGTGGCAGATCCAGGTTTCTATCCTGCTGGTCAGTCTCCAGGGCTCTCACTCTAAACCACAGTGTCTCCCCACCCCTCAGCCATGTGGACATAAAGATCTATTCTGTGGGAGCAAACAGTATAAATCTAGGAGATTTAAAGTGGTAGAGGAACTTAAACCCAAACCAGCTTAGCTTGGAGGCAGACTGCCAGGCTGCATGGTAAGTGTGAAAGGTGAGGAGCTGGAGTCAGGCTGGACACTCAGATTGCCATGGTGGACAGCCCAAGACATACTCACCTTGACTCACCTTATCCATGACTTAGGATGGCATATGCCAAGTGCTACCCACTTATACACAGGTAGCACTGGCTATGTTATGAAGACCAACACATGGAGATATCTGTTGTCTTAGTCTATTTTCTGTTGCTATAACAAAACACCTGAGACTGGATAATTTATAAAGAAAAGAGATTTATTTGGCTCACAATTCTGGAGGCTGGAAGTTCAAAAGCATGGTGCTAGCATCTGGTGTGGGCCTTCTTCTTGCATTTTACATGGTGGAGGGCATCACATGGTAAGACAGACCATGTGTGTTAGCTCGGGTCTGCTTTCCTCTTTTCATAAAGCCACTAATGCCATCATAGGGACTCACCCTCATGAATTCATCTAAGGCTAATGACCTCCCAAAGGCTGCTCTCCAATCACCAATGACATGAACTTGAGGATTAAGTTTCTAACACAAGAAATTTAGGGATCAAATTCAGGGGTGCTTTACTACTGAGCCACACCCCCAGCCCTTTTTAATTCTTTATTTTGAAGGCAGGGTTTCACTAACTTGCTGACACTGGCCCTGAATTGCCCTCTTCCTACTCCAGCCTCTGAGTCACTGTGATTACAGAGTGCCTCGCCACACCTGCTGGGAAGTGGAGAGGGTTAAGAGGCTCTGGGTCTGAAGTCACCTCCTGGGGCTGTGCAGAGTGGGGTGTGGCTCCCACGTGTGCAAACAGCGATGGCCTCCTGTAGCTACATTCCACCCCCACCAGGGTGGCAGGGTGGGGCGTGGCTTGCGTTGGTGGCTCTTCTGACTGGCCCACCAGGCAGGGCTGGCACAGCTCGGCAGCCCTCTGGAAGCATCCAGGAGGGGGCAGTTCCAGTATGGGGGTGGGGGGCAGGGAAGGCAAGACAATGGCTGACATTTATTTCACTGCCCTTGACCCTGAGGAGGCCTAGCCGCCACCCCCCACCACACCCCCGTCTCCCAGAAGATGGAGTTCCTCCAGTGGACAGCCAGGGTGGTGTGATCCCTTCTAACAGGGGGAGAGGGGAAGGAGTGGTGGCCGGGAGCAGCCCCCAGAGAGGACCCACCCACGCAGGAGGGGCAGAGGTGTGGTGCTGAGGTCCCTGGGGCTCAGAGCTGCCCCAGCAGGAAGTTGGCTCCTGCCCCAACTAACAGAACCAGGTGCCACAGAGAGATCAGTTTCCCCGAGACAAAGGCCCGTTCAAAGGCGGCCAGGAGCAGCCTGGATGCTCACCGCTGCCATTCACCTGAGGAGACAGAGAAGGCTCCATTCATCCTCAGCCGCCCTCCTTCCCAGGCTTGGGAAACATCAACAAAAGACAGTGCTCTGCCTTCCTGCCCCAGCCCAGACCTCCCCTAAGCTCAGCCTGGCCACACTGCCACCCCTCTGTCCAGCCCCTTAGGGTCATTACCAGCCATGCACACCTGTGCCCAGGAAGGCAGACACACAAGGGTGCCTGCTGTGTAGGCTGATGGACCCTGAAAGACCCAATGCTGTCCCCAATGTTTACCCATCGCCTGCAGAAGTGTCCCCATCTCCTCTTCCATCTCCTACTTCCCATTAAAGACCCCACAGATTAGACAGCTCCAGGCGATGATTCCTTCCAGCCCCAGTCTGACTCAGTAGGGGCTGGGCAGGCAGGGCCATGTGAGCCAGTCCTTCCTCTGAGCAGTGTCTCTTAGAATACCAGGGAGGGGTGGAGTCCACAGTAAATCACCTAGCACAGGCCCTGAATATACACCTCTATGCATTTTTTAGCTGACATAATAGCTACCTTTATTTGTCTTTCTTGCAATGACTATAAACTCCTTTCTGAACAAGAGCGATACAAAGACAGACCAATTCAATATAAAGATGAACGTAAGCTACCTGGAGATGAAATGGCTCACTTGTGAGGTAGTAAGTTTCCAGCCCTAGAGGGGATTGAGCGAAGCCTGGACAAGCCCTTCTCAGAGGGGATTCATGCATTTGCCCCCTGTGTGGGCTGTGGGCTGCCACATGGTATAACATAAGCACCAAGTTGTTGGGTTTTGTTTTTGTTTTTTGAGATGGGGCCATGCTGTGTTGCCCAGGCTGGCCTTGAACTCCTGGGTTCAAGCCATCCTCCTCCTCCTGCTTCAGACTCAGCCTCCTGAGGCCCAGCTCAACACCAAGATTTAACGATGTGATTTGTGCTATCCATGTCCATATTCTAAAAACCCCACAGAATCTAGGACCCAGAGAAATTTTTTGAAAAGGAAATATAAGTGGTGAGTTCATATAAACAGGGGAGAAAAATCTAAAATGGGATTATGAAGGGTGGAAATGGAAATCTCTAGAAAGTGCTTTCCAAGCAAAAACTCCTAACACAGAAATGATTTCAGCTTCCAAACTTGAATTTGCAGCTGAGTATCAGCATGTTTCCTCCTCTGCAGGAGAACAGGAGGGGCGGCTATTCTCTCGGGACTTTTGTCTTTAGACTTCCAAGGCCAGTGCATCTGGACGCTGGGGTGTCTACATCTGCAGGGTCCTCACACCTTGATGGCATGCTTAGGGCCTGTTCAAAGCATGAAATGGCAAGGTGACCCCAAAGATCACTGACTTGGGTCTGATCAGGAAGATACCCAGAATCTCCAGTCTCTGGGGCTCACCCTTCCTGAGGCTCAGGCTGGGCTGGGCTGACCTGGAAATCTCTGCACACCTTGACCTCCCATCCAGGCCACAGAGTCATCCAACTCGTGGTGTTGCTGTCATCCCTCCCTGTGCCTCCCTGGAGGAGGCCCAGTGGAACCCATCAAAGCAAGGATTCAGAGGGAGAAATGGCAGCTAATTCTCCAAGCTATGAAAGATCTTTACTGTTATTTTTTCTCTAACAGATATATTTTTTAGTTGAAATATGAAGTCACAGCAACACTAGGACTTTTCTTCTTCAGAAGATGAGCCAGGCCAGGGTTGTTACTGTTATAAGAGTGAGAACTGAACCATGTAAAGTGATGCACACTTGTAATCCCAGCCTCTTGAAAGGCTGAGGCAGGAGGATTGCAAGTTTGAGGCCAGCCTCAGCAACTTAGAGAGGCCCAAAGCAACTTAAATAATAAAATTTAAAAAACAAAAAATAAAAAAGACTGGGGATGTGGCTCAGTGGTTAGGCACCCCAGCCAAACAACAACATCAACAAAAGAGAGTGAGCTGGGACTATGACAAGGACAGGGTGGAGCAGAGAGCTCTGGGCCTGGATGGGAGCTGAGAGGGGCAGCTGGCAACACCCGACTCCACATGCTAAAACCTGGGGTGAGGTAGGGACTGAAGAAGCCCTTTCCCCAGTGGCACAGCTAGAGCTCCAGGCCAGTGAGCTGGGAGTGTGGGAATGAGCGTGTGCACGAGAGTGCCCGTGCTCTCGCACACTGCTCCTCCTGAGGGCAGACACCCTCAGGCCCTTGCTGGGATGGCTGCAGCTACATCTGTATTCCCCACTGTCCTCATCCTGTGGGGTCCGTGGACTCGCAGGAGGACAGGGGTCTTACCGGTAACACTCAAATCCTCGCAGAACAAGCGTGATGGTGTGCGTGTGTGCGACACTGTAGACACCGCTGCCCAGCGTCAGCCAGGGACGGGTTGGTGCATGCTCCATGATACACAGTGCCCCATGCCCTGGGAAGGGAAAGATGGCACAAGCGTGTCCTCCGAGGCCTTGGGAGCCAACCTGGGGCTGTCCTCTGTGTTCTGGGCTCCTGAGAAGAGACCCCAGCTAGATGACCTATGGAGTCTCACAGCTGAGAATATTACCTTTCCTTTCTGGGAGAAGGCCCAAGATCAGGCCTCGAGAAGGGGGACAGGCAGGGATGGCAGGTGGGTGAGTTGCCTAGCCCAGTGCTCTTCTGCTTAGCATGGCTGGCCAGGAGAGGCTGGCCAGATTTCTTTCTTTCTTTCTTTTTTTTTCCTTACAGTACTGAGAATTGAACCCAGGACCTCACCTGTGCCAGGCAAGCACGCTACCACTGAGACATTTCCTGCACAGCATGTGAGACCATTCCCACTGAGGGAAACTGGCTTGTTCCAACTCATGTAAGTAATGCTTATAAGTCCTGCCTCCTATTCACCCAGGTTCTGGGTTGCTGGAACAGAACAACACCAAGCTCCTTGGGGGCCCTGTTTTCCACTGTGGATCCTGCTCGGGGTCCTGAGGATCCCTGTGCTAGTAGAGGCAGGTGGTCATTAAAGCAAATGTAATCTAAGTTGGACTCCAGCCCCCTCTATGGCAACAGGAGTCATGGGCAAGCCAATCTAATTCAAATACAAACCCAAAATATGAGAGCAGCAGCAAGCTGTTTGTGTAATAAACATTGCAAAGCGCATTTGGTTTCTTTCTTTCTTTCTTTTTTTTTTTTTTTCAAGTCAAATATAACAACCAATGTCCCAAACCCTGTTTTCTGCATTGAGAATAAAGAAGCTGTTGATACCAGCAGGACACCTGCAGCCAATCAAAGAAAAGACCATTTCCCACTGTCAACCAATCATAATCCTTTTCCAGTTTAAGCAGCCAATTGGGCCTCTTCACATTTCTAAAATATGACCTAAATAAAGCACCAGAGCCCGGAGAGCTTCCTGGGAAGCCTGATACCGAGGCGCAAATTTTTTAAAAAATAAGAGTCAGAAATAAAAATAAAAGGTTTCCATTGGTCAAGGTTTAAAAATAAAAAGGTTTCTTCCTGAAGCCAATCACGAGTCCATCCCTTTAAGCCAATCGAAAACGCACCACTGGTGTCTCCCTTGATGCCAGCCCTGCTGAGCGGCTGTGGCAATGGCTGTTGGGGGGCTGAGGGGTAGGAGTAGGGGGAGGGAGGGATGGTGGTCTGCTGCCACTCAGCCAGCCCAGGAGCCACACAGATCTCTTGGCCCTTGACAGCTTCCAGGGTGTTCCAAGGAGTTTACAGCTATTGCCTCCGGTCCTCCGTCTCCGACCTGGAAAACGCCATCACCACATCCTCGGCACCTACAGACCAGGGGACAAGAACTGCTGATAGGCTTCTAGTGTTGGCTGCAAGCAGGACAAGGCAGGAAGGCTGCGGGAACCACCCGCCCCAGTCCCCCTGCCTCCAGTGCTGTGGCACCTGCTGAATACAAAGTGCTTACCTCTGGTCTGCCCTGCAGCCTGGCCAGCAGACGGAGCCAGCAACCCTGCTGCAGGGATGCAGGAGTGAGCTCAGAGGCTCACTCAAGGTTCTACCGCTAAGAGGTGAGCCATGACCAGGTCCCAGGTCTCACATCCCTTGCTCCAAGGTAACCAAAGTTGGGGGGCCACTTGAGAGTTCCCCTCTTTATTCTCTAGCCTCAGGTCCTGATTGCGTCAGAGGATCTTGCCCATTATGATTTGAACAGCCTCCCTTCTTTGCAAGAGCTTATCCTTTGCCCAAACCCCACACCTGCTCAAAGGAGCTTGGCCAGCCCTTCTCAGCCTGTTGTTTGTCTGGCTGGACAAGATATATAATGCCCACAAGCCTTGTTATATTTCTTAATCCTGATTTTGAGATTCGGGTCCAGATACTCATGAAGTCATTCCTTTGTCTTGTTATAAGACAGGCTCTGACAGGCAGCCAGAAAGGCAGGGAGCGGGCAAAGAGCTTGGAATGCTACCCTGCTCCCCCACCCGTCAAAAAGTGAGGTGATTCATAGGTTCCTCCCTGTCCCAGGGTCCCCCTGCTCTCTCCCCCTTTTATAAAGGGTGGTTCTGTGTTGTGTCCGAACACTGACAGTCGGGCTGCCCAGGGCTGTTCTGACATACTTTTCGCCTGTGTTACCAAAGAAATTCTCCCCAGAGGGGGCGGATCAGAAAGTCAGGGACCCAAAAGGCCACCCAAGGGTGAGCTGGTATGGGAGGTGCCCAGCAAGGCCTCTGGCACAGGGACCAGAGTTGGCACAGTGTTGGCCATCCTGGTCCACCCCATGGAGGGGGTCCCCTCCTGACATCCCTGCCACAGGAGGGGAGGAGGCAGCCAGCATTGGGGCAGTGCTGCAGAAGGAGGGCCTAATGCAATGACATCACAAAGATGTGCCTTCATTCTCACCAGGAGCCAAGGTGGTGCTAAGGGAAACACACTGCCACCCACCCACTCACCTTCCTGGGGTTGTGTCCTTAGCCAGCACAACCTCTATTCCTGAAAATAAAAATGAGCTTCTAGAAAGGAGCTCAAGTCATCAAGGGCCTGTTTGGATGGGGCTCCTTTGCTCGAGAAGCCCCACAGTCCTGCCCCTCTTCTAGGGAACATTCCGTTCTCACCAGGCCTGGGACTCGCAGCACCACCTCAGGCAGAATTGTCCTAGCTACTCCTAGCTACAGGGACTCCACAATTACATCATACCTGCGTGGCCACTGTGCTGGTTACCTAACAGAGGCTGACTTCTCAGTGCTGCCCCCCTCCTCCCTAAGCAGGAGGGGTTGCCACAAAACTGTGACAAGGGAGGTGTCAAGACGCCCTGGTGGCAATGAGAGGCGGCAGCCCACTCGCTTCCTTCCTCCTGCCTACCGGGCTTTCTCACAGGCTTTCTCGCGGGACCGTGGGTCTCTGCAGTGTGCTGAGGCACAAAATAGCACTGGCGCCCCAGGAGGGAACTGTGTCAGCAAAGGGAATGGCCACCCAGGGGCCAGGGCCTTGCAGCCCCAGCCTGCCAGGGAACCTGCCTGTCCCCCAAGAGTGGGAAAGAAGTAGCCTTCTCAAGGTCACATGGGGACCTGGTAACTATTTAACGAGACACCTGAAACAAAAGCCTTCCAGAGTCCCACCCTCCCACGCTGCCAGCTGAGTCCCTCCCTGGCTGGGAATCCAAGCCTCATTATGGAGCCTCCCACTGGTGCTGCTGGGCCGCCTACAGAAGGGGCCTTTGCTGCCCAGCCGAGCCGTCCCAAAGCACTTGCTGTTTTCCACGCCTCAGCACAAGGACCTGCCTTCCTTTGGGGCTGACCTATCCTCATTATGGGCTGGCCAGGCTCTTGTCATGAACTTGAAGGCCTCTAGCAGAAGATGCTGATTCTCCCTCTCCTCTTCTCGATGGAATTTGGGACAATTACAAAAAAGTTATTGAGACTCAAGCCCTTTGAGTTTGAGGTTGGTCTCCTGAGTCTCTCCCCCTTAGAAGGCCAGTATATGGGGGTCCCCTTGGGCACTTTCCACTGTCCTTGAAGCACCGCTGGCCAACTGTGCCTTTGGGCCAACAGCTTATTTTATTTTTTATTTTGTCACTGGGGATTGGACCTAGGGCACTCTACTCCTGAGCCACATCCCCAGCCTTTTTTTTATCTTGAGACAGGGTTTTGCTAAGTTGCTAAGGGTAGCCGTGAACTTGCAATCTTCCTGCCTCAGCTTTCCAAGTTGTTAGGATAACAGGATGTGCCACCAGGCTAGGATCTGAAAGCTTTACTTCTTGTCTTTATTCCTTTTTAAAAAAAAATATATATATATTCAATATTTTAATATATATTAATATATATGTATACTATATACATATATGTAATCTAAATATATATATGTATATATTTAGTTAGTTGTAGATGGACACAACACTTTATTTTTATTTATTATTATTGTTTTTAATATTTATTAAGTTTTAGGTGGACACAATATCTTTATTTTACATTCATGTGATGCTGAGGATTGAACCCAGTGCCTCGTGCAGGCTAGGTGAGTACTCTACCACTGAGCCACAACCCCAGCCCTTATTTATTTATTTTTATCTGGTGCTAAGGATCAAACCCAGTGCCTCACATGTGCTAGGCAAGCGCTTTACCACTGAGCCCCAACCCCAGCCCCACTTCTTGTCTTCATTCTCCTAAAAAGCTCTAGGGTATATTTCTGGGATAGTCTCCCCAGTGTTTATATCTTTTATAATTTTTTTTTTTTTTTTGGTGCTGGGAATTGAACACCTGGGGCTCTTTAGCACCGGGATACATCCCCAGTCCTTTTTTATTTTGAGACAGAATCTCACTAAGTTGCTGAGTTTGGTTTTGAACTTGCCTTCACTCTGTTAGCCTCCCAAGTCCCTGGGACTACAGGCTGCACCCCCCCACCCCACCTGCCCAACTCCAACTTGGTCTTAACACTTCTACTCAATATGTGTTTTTTTTGTGTGTAATTGTTGATGGACCTTTATTTTATTTATTTATGCACTGAGAATGGAACCCTGTGCCTCACACGTGCCAAGTAAGTGCACTACCTCTGAGTCACAGGCCCAGCCCCTCAATACTGTTTTGAAGGTCATTCCTGGGCAATAGGCAAGAAGAAGAAAAGGCATCCAGAGCACAAAGGAAGAAGCAAAAACATCCCAATGTATGGAAAATCTGAAGGAATCTACTTTTAAAAAAAATGTTAGAACTAATAAACAAGTTTCAGGGTACAAGATGAACACAAATTGTAGTAAGGCATGGTAGCCATACCTATAATCCCATAAATTTGGGAGGCTGAAGCAGGAGGATCAAAAGTTCAAGGCCAGGTCAGGGGTGGTGGCCCATGCCTGTAATCCCACAGATCGGCAGATCCGGAGGCTGACACAAGAGGATCAAAGCCAGCCTCAGCAAAAGTGAGTTTTGAGACCCTGTCTCTAAATAAAATACAAAACAAGGCTGGGGATGTGGCTGAGTGGTCAAGTGACCTGAGCTCAACCCCTGGTACCCCCCCAAAAACAACAACAACAACAACAACCAGGCCAGCCTCAGCAACTTAGTGAGACCCTGTCTCAAAATAAAAATAAGTACAGGGGATGTACCCTGCGTCCAACCCTTGGTACCATGGTCAAGGGCACAGGAACGAATCTTTATGACTGTTATGGTTTGGATCCTCAGTGCCCCAAAGGCTCCTGTGTAGAAGATGTGGTCCCCAGCTGATGGTAGTATTGGGAGGCAGGGAACCTTCAGGAGGTGGGACCTGGTGGAAAGAGTTAGGTCAGTGTGGGCATGCCCTCTAAAGGGACATTGGGAAGTTGGCCCCTTCCTCTCTCTCCTCTTGTCCCCATGGCCCTGAGGTGAGCAGCTTCCCCCGCCACACACCACCACGATGCACTGTCCTGCCACAGTTCCAAAGTCATAGGCCCGCTGCTGCCTCCAAAGCCCGGGGAACCTCCATCTTGGCTACTTAGGCCAAGAGCCCAGGCTCTCCTGACCACCCCTCCACATGCTCCACCTACAGTGCCATATAAATACATCTGGGGCACTACCACAGCCCCTCTCACTGGAGCCAGGTCCCTGTTGTCCTTGATCTCCCACCTGGCACCAATGATCTATTCTCCACACAGCGGCCAGAGGTATGTTTTCTATATTTGAAGTCAGTTTCTGTTACTCCTTTGCTCAAAGCCTTTCAAAGACATCTTACCCCAAAATGTCTCACCATATTCCAAGTGAATGCCAAATACCACGCTGGTCCACAAGACTCAACACACTAAGCCCTCCAGATGACTTTTTGCCTCCTTCTGCCCCTCTACCACTCACTCTGCTCCAGTTGTGCAGGCCTGCTGG